TGCCACTTGGCAGATTGTCGCTGGTTTGCTTGTCGGTCTGCTCCTTGCATTCGAGGCAGCTCCTCCTCCTCCTCCTTCTCCAAACCCATCCTCCATCAAACTGGTCGATTGCCGCATTGCATCATCTTTTACATCGTACATCTCATATTTCGTATAGTCGTCTGCTGGCCGGCTGTAAATACCAAATATAATTGTTTAACTGTCCATAAAAATGGAGAAGCATAAAAGGAGACCCTTTTCTTGTCTGCTGCCAACTGTCCATTGAACTTGGCTTCGCTTCGAGTCGGGGCTTTTAAAGGCGACCTCAAAGAGATATATCTTGGATATAAAATAAATTCACACCAGTGTGGCAGAAAGTATCTGGTGGATATATACCCCAACTCTACCTGACACTGTCCCATCCATCAATCTGTGGAAAGATTGCGCCATAGGTCGGCGGCAGGTGCCGAAGATGTTGTTGTTTTATTTGGGGGTGGAACTCATAGGCGTAGGAGCCAGGTGATTGAGGGATCTTTCTCTTCATTTCCCTGAGAATTACGTTGAGTTGAGACATCATTCGAGGTGTGGGAAAAAGCAAAATAAGGAATCGCATCCAGGAAGAGCTGCCGCATGGTTGGTTAGGGGATAATTGGTGTGGGAAGATTTGGTGATTTGGAGGGATTAAAAATGAAAATAATTGGGAATATCTAAGCCTTTAAAATTGTAAAGAAGAATTTAACAATTATTATTATATAATTTTTCTAATCTGTTTTATTTATTTGATATAAAAATTACTCTATTAGATATTATTCTTATACATATGAAACTTTAATTTTGTATAATATATATCATTATATTCTGGATAATTCCAACCTTTGTGGATAAATAGAAAAGAAAGATGCAGTTAAATTAAAATATTTTACTATAATTAACCTTTATAATGATTGCTGTAATTTTAAGAAGATAAATGATCTTGCAATTAGAGATAAAGGGTCAAAGATATCCATTTGATTTCCCGGAGTATAACACACTAATTTCCTTTTAATGTGATTTTAAATAATACCCTTTCGATTTAAAGGAGGTGAACATGTAATAAATAATAATAAACGAAATACTCGGTGGATAAATAATGCTATTTCCCCATAAAAAGTGTACAGTCACTTTCTTAACCAAGTATTTGAGACTAAAAAGTAAATGATCACCGAACCGTAATTAACCGAATCTGTTCAACGATTTGAAACTATTTCTTCTCTGCATAAAGACGAGATAAATACGGTTTAAAATGGAGCAAAACTCTCTATTATGTCGGCAGCAAGCTACCTTTCGCCACATTTCGCCACATTCCCGACCATTATTAATGCATTTGGTTAGCCGCCGCACAATCTGTCTCCATAAACCGAACGTAAGCCTCAATTGAGCAAACTTGATTTATGACTGACTGACTGCAATTGCACATACAATATTTCGCTATCGCCGCACTCTCACTCTCTTCTACTCCATTTGGGAAAAATTGCATGTCAACGGAAATTGCTTAATCATTTCCACGCATATCATATCGCATTTTCTTGTGTCTGCTTGTGTTTTGTGTTTCGGTTTTTCGCCAAATGACTAATCCCATCTGTCGCTTGTCGTCCTGTTCCTCTTGTGCAGGTAAGTTTCACTGATATCTTTCTGCTGCCCATGGGCAATAAAAGGAAATCATTGCGTAAGTCAATAAAAACAAAATTGATTTGTTTACTTAGGACGATGAGTGTTGGGGAGTTGCATAATCCTCTGGTTCCTGTGAGGAAGTGGAACGACAACATAAAACATAAAATATAAAAAGGGAGCCATTAGCATGTGCATCCTAAAAAGTGAGGCTCATAATGGATTTTCCAATCAATTCCCAAATGATTATGGTTACCACTCATTTGCAACATGGCGCGACCATCGAAATTATTGGCTCATTTGGTCAAGAGGCTAGCCAAAATACAATATACAAAAACATAAAAAAAAAACAAGAAAAACGAAAGATATACAAAGATGAAGCAGGCACACGGTGTACCCGTGAGATACTCCACTCCTTGATTATCATCTCCTTTACCACCACTACCTGACCCCTTGTCGCGCCTAACGATCTTTAACCTGGCCAACCGATCCCGTCCCAGACAGTCGGCCACTTGTCTGGCTCTTTTGTTGTTATTGATCGTTCGTTGTACTACACAGCATTCAAACGTGCGTCGATTATCTTTGTATCTGGCAAATGCATATACACGCAAAGAAAATGTATCTTTTTAAAGGATATTTGAAGAATATATAAAAAGTACAAGAGAGATGCTCTTACCCTTCTATTTTTTAAACAGTCAAGAGGTAAAGTCAACCAATACTCACATAAACCTCTTGTACTTTATTACCATCAAACTTTTTATGTAAAAAATATAGTACATTTTTTTTCAAAGTGCACCCTACAGCCTGTCTGTTTCTGAGTTGTTTTTACTGATGTTTGCCCGGCTCATTTGCAAATCTGCTGGGTAATCAGACACCGGCTAGGGATGTCAATTAGCTGCTGCTGCTCCTGCCGCTGCTATTTCGCCAAGTGCGTGACCATTGAACCTGCATTTCCCATTTCCAAGTACACAGACCCAGCTCGCTGTTCCCCAGTTTAAAGTGAAAGTGAAAATGGCGCTGGCAGCTAACAAAAAAAAAAATTTACTGTCCTGAGAAAGGCGTTCAATGAACTTCTCCCATGACTTGGAAATCAAGTTTAGCTTGGTCTGCCAATCTTTTTTGCTTGCCAAATCCCGCCCAGAACTAATTGAAGATTTCATATCTCGGCATTTATGGGCCCTTTGCAACTCATCCCAATCTCAGTCTCAGTCTCAGTCACAATCTCAGTCGTCGGCGGCGGCTCCTAGAGTAAAGCAGACAATTTATGATACAAATTAAATGCATGAAAATTATGATGAATGCGAGGCAAAATTTATGTTGATGACATACCCAACAAAAGAGCGCCAAAACCCGCCCAGGCTCCTTCTGCTCCTTCGATTTCTGGAGGGCAGCTCCAATCAAGAGCCAGACGATCCACAGACAACAAAACCCGCCGAGGAGTCGCTTAGCGCTCCCAGTCCAAGTCGTTTTTTTTTTCCATGGGTACACGGAAAGAAAATAATCTTATTTAAATTAAATCTTAGCTTTTTTTAAAGTCTTATAAAATACTTAAATTTACTGTTTAAAAGTAACTTGACTATAATAAAACAAAGTTAAGATCAGTTCAATGTTAATTAATATTTTTCTCAATGTAACTCTGGGTCTGGTCCTAAGATCCACACCATACCGCCCCTCCCTTTATCGCTTTTTGAGCAGCTGCCGAGGAGGAGCAGGCGGAAGAGATCCCGGCGAGTTGGTGGACTCCTTGGGGGCTTCGGTTTGGTCTCGGCCTGCCTCTAGCCGAAAGTTGTTGCGTATTTAAAATGGAAATTGCAAGTTTTTCGCTTAACGTTCCAATGTGTCTCTTTCCTTGTCTTGCTCCCTCGTCGGCGCTTTTGTTTCACTTTCGTTTGCTTGATTGCAGGTTTTTTTCTTCTTATTTTTCTTATTTTGAGTTTTCTGAGTATATATGTATATATTTTTTTGCTTATTTGGTGCATTTATCACGGTGCCACACATTTGTGCCACAAGATACCAGCAGATCGGGCAAGCAAGAAATTGGCCAAGTCAGCCAGAGTTTCCATTTTCCTTTTCATTTTTCAAGAGAGCCAAGCTAATTTCAAGGGTGCCCGATAATCGACCGGTCCACGCCCCTCTCTTTAAGCATATATTTATGTATTTGGGCGAAATTTTTACCCAAAAACCACAACCATCCGCAGTTTTGTCATCTTTGGCAGCAGGCTCGCGCTGGCAGGTTATGAAATATTTCGCAACATTTTGCAGCAAACAATTTCCTGTTTTTCTTTATTTCACTTACGCACTTCTCTCCACTTTGGCTGCTGGGTCTCTCGGCCGATCGGTATTAATTATTATGGTCTCGTTTTTTTCACTTGGCGGTTTTTTTTCCCCTCCTTTTTACTTTTAGTTTAGCTTTTATTTTGAATGCCTGGCGAACCTGTTGCAATGGGTTCCACAAAGGCAAAGAGATATGCCGATGCCGAATGGGTGTGGTGGGGAGATAAATAGTTATGAGGTTTGGTTCGGATTAGGTTTTTGTCTGCAGATCGGGAAAAGTGGGATCTATAAAGGGAGATATTAGTTATTTGATAGCGGAATTCTATGGTTTTTTGAGGTGTTTTTGGGTTTTTATTTCCATTTTCCTCAACTGAGATTTTTTAAGACAGATGTTTCTCTTGAAAAATAAATGTACAATTTTTTTTTTAATTATTTATACAAGTTTTATAAGTTTGTAATTAAAAATTGTAATATTTTATGTCTTATAAACTTTTAAAATCAACTATTTTTTTTTTAAATGCCTAATAAAATACAAAATTCTTAAACCTCTTTTGGTATTATTTATAATTTGTTGATTTTATTAAAATTACTAAATTTATTTTGGCTAAGTAAAATATTAATAATTTTTAAAAATTCCTATATTTCTTTGAAAAACTCAAAAAAGTAATTGACATTTACCAACCCCAGAAGTTGTCTTTATCCCTATAACAAACTTATCTACTTACGCCCTTCTCTTAACTCTCCCTTATTCTTGCGCCTATTAAGACCATTTTGCTTTCATTAAGACCAATTTCCATCCATTACGCACCGGAATAATCAACAAATTAACTAACTAAATTCCGCGTGGGCATAATGCCGCGCCCCCAACCCCTAAATAATCCGAATTCCGAAGTTGTGACAGCCGCAAAAATGTCAAAGCGATTTCAAGTGCATGCCCCCAAAGAATCCGGGGTGCTCGAACCTGTTCAAGATTGTATATTTCCATGGAACATGTTCGAAGCAAACGCGATGATGAGGTTGCATGGAATCCGTGAGATACAATCCACAAGCTGCTTGGCGGCCGCAAACAAACCGAATTTCAATTCAGTTCGCGCTCAACTCACAGCCACGATGGTCAAGCAAACGCGTTAAGAAAAATAACAATAATAATATAAACGAAACAAATTCTTTTTTAATCAAATAACAAGACTAAAAATATGCACTAAATAAAAGCAAACACTTGTACGAACTGTAAATAAAAGTGTAAATAAAGTTTAAAAATAAATGAAAAGATTTGCGCCTGCGCAAAACCCACGAAACGAAATATTTAGAAATCTACTTGTTACTTGTGGCTCAAGTTCCAATACATTGTGTTTGAAAATTCATTTGTTTGATCGATTTTGTGCGGTGCGAACGAGTAACACCTTGTAAAGGCATTTTCCACCAAACACAAACCCTATTGCCATAGCAAAGTGTGTTAAAAAAAAAAAGAAGAGAAACAACTGCTGCCACCCTCAACAACCCCTTTTCGATAGGGTTTAAAACCTACCGCAAGAAAAAAATTAAGAAGGAAATATATAAAAAAGCACCACTTTACGTTTCGTTACTTTATTGAACCCCTCGCGCTGCTGACTAATTGCCTTTTATATAGCCAGACTATATAAAACTGTACAATAAGACAACGGCCAAGAAACTCCCTTTTAATTTTCAACGGAACCCCCAACAAAGCTGGAAATAGCTTCGCTTTGAAGTGAAGTTCAACCATTTTCGCAGCGAAAAACGATTTTCAATTTATTTTCATTGAGTGGGGAAGAGAAGCGAGCGTGTTCTCTCCCCCTTTTTTTCGGTTTCTAAATTGAACACAATTGCAACAGAACCAATAAAAAGTGAACTGTATTCGAAGTAGAGCAAAACATCAGTAACATCAGATGCATAATTAGCCTTTGCTTAAAACGGAAAAGCACAACAGCAGCCAGCAGCCAGCAGACAGACAGCACACAGCCAGCAGCAAAATGTATCTCATACAGGTGAGACCGCCGCCAAGCGCTACACACAATGGCTCTCTCCCACCCCCCTTTCATAATCTTATAATTAAGTGTTTGCTCTTTGCAAACAGAAACTGAACTGAAACTGAAAAAAAGATCTCTTTATTTAAGCGTTTTTTAATTGTCCGCCAGCAGCTGAGATTTTCATTCTTCCACTCGTCGCGTGTGCGTGCCGCTCTCTAGCGTATATAATTTGTTTAATTTGTGGCTAATTTATCTTTCCACCTGGCTTGGATCGTGGTGAATGCATCGCCGAGAGAGGGGTTCACTGGATCAGGTGTCTCATTACTGAACTTTGAACTTGAAACGGTGTTGGAAAATTAGAGCCCGCTAATGGTTGTACGGTTAGATGATAGGGGTTGGCTTTGAAAGATTAAAAGATTAAGGTTAAGCCATTATCAAGTATTTGTAGGAATTTCCATTAAGGCAGGGATTTCTAGAAAATATCTATGTATATCAGAACCATGGAATCAAATGTCATTGTGTCTAAATATATTTTACAAAATCCCAATACAATGGCTCAACGAAATATTTCGAAAATTCTGACCGTTTTGGAAGCCATAGCTCAAGAGGCACAAACTGGCTTAGACCATGATACCCTAGTGATGTGCGACAGTATTATTCAGAGAGGCATCGATGGCAGAATCCTGGCAAACGTTATCACTAATATAAGAAAGGAGTTGGATAATTCAGAAACCGAGGGAAATTCCTCATCGGCTTGGGAGACTGACTATAATGAAACGAGTGATTAATAAAATATTTATTTAATTTAAAGTTATAATAAAACAAAGAGTGTATAAAATTGAAAAGACCTCGTTTTTTTTAGGACATCCAGCGCTTTTATTTCTCACTTAGTAATCGAATTTTTGCCGTAATAAATTAGAGAAGTCATATTTAAAATCTGCTGGCTAATGTTGAAAATGTATGATGGCTCAAATAGGTGTTTATTCCCCTTTTACCTGCGAGTTATCAACATTTTGTGCAGTCAACAGTTTGTGGTTCCTGAATACTGTATAAGTGCCAGCCAAAATAATAAATAGTTGCACCGTCTTGGCTTGATAGTAGGTCTGAGGGATACATAGGTAATGTAATATATTTATAAGTGAATTGATAAGCTTGACTATTACCCGTCTTATATAGATCTCCAATGGTATATGGGATCGGTGGGTATGATAATCCATTGCTCTAAAAGCCCAATATCCCGGCCAAGCTCCCAAGCCGGCGAACAGAAATGGAGCGGCAGTATTGTAGGCGCTCTCAAACCGTGGGGAATTGACCATTAGCCTTATTTCCTCGCCAAGATTCTGAGCTTTTGGTGCAGGTAATGGTTCGGCAATGCCCTTGTTTGATTGTTTCTTAAACAGACCGCTCAAAAAGTTCTGAATGCCCATTTTTTTTAGCTAGTTTTTTCTTCCAATTTGATTTCTTTGGCCAAATAGATGTTGGCTAAATTTGGACCCGAGGTGTTGACTAAAACCAGCTAGGGATAGAAATAATAAATCAAGGCTTACCTGATTTTAAGAGGATTCATTGGGTTTTTTATATTCCATTCCTTGCATTTGAAGGGGAGAACGTGAAATGCTGACAGCAAAAGCACCAGTGGCCAAAATGGCCACCTGCATGAGCTTGGCCTGCTGATAGGTCTGCAGGAAAAGGGGTTTTATTTAATATATAAAATATTAGCAACATTTTTGAGTTCGCTCGCACCCTTTGAATGTAGAAAGAAATCCTTTCCGTGTTTCTCCTGTGCTGCCAATTGTAGCCGCGATATAACCAGTAAGCTGGCCAGGAAAAGAAGCCAATTTCTAGATACGGCAGCATATCTATTAGCTTCTTGGATAAACCCTTGGGTGAGTTGCGATCTAGAAAGTCAACAAATTCCATTTCATAATTAAAATCGGCAACATTCGGTTCGGTGCTGAATTTTTTTATTTTTATCTCTGGCGTAGGCAAGTCCCCAGAGGTTATGGGTTCCAAAGAATCCTTTTCTGTTTTCGAATCTTTTGGTTTGGGTTCTGTCTGTATCTCCACACTTTTGGGCTTGGATTTATTGAAAAACTGTGAAATACTCTGGCGCAACGTGTCCATAATTTTATTTAAAGACTGAATTCGGTTGACCTGAAATTTTTTTAGTGTTGAGATCGAAAATAAACAAGAAAAGCTTGCTGGGATTATAGGTTCTATCTAAAGAAAGAAAAGGTCCAGCGATAAATGCATTTGAAAAGTTCAAAGACTTGTCACCATTGCATAAATTATCGCTCTGCTGCCCCATGCGGGTCTCGACTTTTGTTTAAAACTAATTTACGTTACTTAACTTTTTCTATTTATATATTTTTTTTGGGGAGACCCACAGTAGCCGGCAAACCAAGTAAAATTATGGCCTAACTGCGGGTTCTACTATATATCTAGTGTGGTTAAGAGAAGTGGGTCAACTCGGTGGTGCAGCGGTGCAATTATAAAGCGCATATCTACCAGGTTGCATACCAGAGACTTTGACTTCGACTTCGACTACGACTCTGGCTTGGACTTCCACTTCGACTTGGGTCCATTGTGTGGCGGTAGCTAACGGCTTGGACCAGCAGCAGGTGTCTCCTCTCAGGTCCATTGTTGTTTCTTTATTTTTTTTTTTTCGGGTAGAAAATGTGGCTTACCTTCAACGAAAATCTAGTGGCAGGAAGCCCGACGTTATTTGGGGTTCTGTAAACTAGTTTTTCTACCATTCTTCTCTCTCTCTATCTCTCTTGGTCTCTCTTAATGATCAATGCATTTAATCAAGTGAATTACTAAAAATGCCGAAAATGAAAAGAATGCACAGAAAGAAAAACAATTTAACGGTTAGTCTCTGGCTTATACCGATAGATCTATAGATTCTCCTTCTTACAAAGGCCAGCTTAATGAAGTGAAAATCTTTGGAGTGCTTGGTGGTGGCCTTTGTGGCAGTTCTTTGATTAGCGGAATTCGTTTCGAGATGATTCTTTTTTGGCCACTCCCCATCGATCATGTGGAAAGTTGACAAGATCCAGCAATCTAACGCCCGGCGAGAATCTCCTCAGAATTGATCCACTTGCCCAGTTGCCAAGCTGAGCGTATCTTTATTACCATGTTGTGGCCATTTCTTCGTCCATTCCCCCTTGCTAGCAGCATCTTTACTTCAATCTACTCAAGCGTTCAACGGCAAATCATAGGCTTTCTCATTCAAGACCACAAATTGCATTGCTATGGCTTCTTCTCTAGAGATCTTCTCGCCACACACTGTGTAGAGAACATTTCCCTCGCTATAAAATCGGCCTACCTACACACAAAGCTATACTTAAAACCTTTTTTCTTTAACACCGTTCAAAGTCAAGCTCAATTAACACAATTTCAATTTTGGTAAATGATTTGCAAAAAAATAAGCGAAAAATAAACCAAACTTCGATGATAGTTTTGAAAGTCTCGAAAAAAAAAAGCACTCGAGAGCATAAATCACCTCCGCAATGTAATTTCGTTGAACGCCAACTTGCTTTTCTGCTTATGGAGGCCCACCTGCAATTAGTCTGCTCAGGTGGGCGTAAGCCATCTCTCTTTCCCATCGCCTCGTGTCGGATCGTGTGAAATTGCAACTTTTTAACTGCGGTCAATGCTAACATAGTATATGGAAGAAAAAAGCCAGCTAAATTGTATAATCAATTGACGGCTTCAAATGTCTGGGTTTCTGATCGTGCGACAGGTGACGACACTTTAAGTGTCAAGTGCGCAAAATTCATTTGAGTTTGGTTACCAAAAACGGTGTAATTTTATTATATTTAACGAGCGTTGCTCAATTTCTTTTATGTGAGCACTCTTTAGAGTAGTTTTATTCAATTTGTGAGTCATTATAGTGAAGAAAATTGATTGAGAAAAATGGTTTGTTCAAAGTTTGGGGTTAAAATTATTATCAGTTATAGTGGAATAATTATTTTTGAAAGGGATTTTGAATAAGAATTACGTTAGAATTGCCTTTTTACTCGCTGGTCAGAGCTTTGTGCAACCCTTCTTTATAAGTTTTAACCTTTACCTGCACTCTAAACGTTTTTATCTCTAAGCTCCTTCGTCTTAACCATCACATTTTAAGTTTTGTCTTACAAAAAACTAATTTTACCAAAGCTAACATTGTTAACGTGGAATCTACCCACTTAAATCTAACAATTTCTAAACATTAAAGTTAAAAGCCGACTCTGCCTTAGCTAAGAACTTTTTTGAAAATATTAATTTAGCCTTGACTTTCCATCAGCTGCAATCTTGATCTTTTAACTGCATAATTCTCCTTTATCCACTCTTGAGCTACCGGCCTTGTCAAAGAAATAATGAATCTTCAATCTTCTTGGTTTTTTCGACCTGCCTTCTTGCAACAGCAAAAAGCCAATCCCCTTAGCGTGATGCTCCTCATCATTCTTATTTTGATGCCTCTGCATTCTATAAAATGCCGCATCACTCACTCCCCGCTCTAATCTCGGCTAACCCATCTCCAATCCAGGCGGAGACCCGCATACCAATAAAAAATCCCGAGCATATTACTCAATTTTCAGTGTTCAGATTTCAGAGGCAGACAAAGGGCAAAACGAGGATGCCACACCGAAAAACTAAATAAACAAAAACAATAGCAAGTTGACACTTTGACAAATGATCTCAGTGGCTGTGTGGCTCGATAAGAAAGAAGCTCGTTCCATACATCAAAAAAGCATTCAGCAAGACGACACATTATTTTCCAAGTTTATTTCTGACATTTTTTGTTGTTGTATTTTTATTAGAGGAGAATATTGTTTTTGTAAAGTGAATGTGATGCTCTTGCTATCGGCTCTAGAACCTTGGGTGCCGTTACACACTCTGGGTCAACAACTCTCTGAAAGTCGAGACCGGATCGAAGTTGATATTGATATTGATTTGCTCTAGATTTACACATGAGCGAGTCAATGATCCTCAAATGTCGTCTGGTTTGTGGTCGGGATCGGGAATCAGGCTCCTCCGTATCCGATGTGTAATAAAAGTCACTGCCACATGAGATCTTGGCCAGTTTGAAAATGCTCTGGCTAAGCCTTAAGGAATTTTGTTTATGCTTTGGGCGCGGCTTTTTACCCTCTTTATGTTTCGTTGAGGAATTTCTTTTTATTTTCTGGGGCGTGGACCATATAATTCCGCATTCCCTTGCCATGAAATATGTATCAATTTAATTACCAAAAGAAGAGAGAGACAGACCGAGTCCTGAACACGCAATTAAAGTTCAGAGAACCCATCCCAAAACTGTCCTGAACCTTTTTCGAAACAAACAACGCATTTTTTTTATGAGGTTGCAACAAACAATAAGACCTACTACAACTACCTGAAACTAGAGAACAGGATTCGGAATCGGATTCTGTAATTCCCTGAAATGGCAGGCAAGAAGAATGAAGGAACAAATAAAGAGTATCATTCCTTTGATTCCCCACCATTTGATTCCTACCTGTTTCTTTTCTTCCTGACCTTTCTATGGTATATTCTCCCCGTGAAAGGCATTCTCCTTATGCGATATAGATGGCAGATGATTTATTTTTGACGGGGCCCATTTCATGGGCTATCAGAAGCGAGAGAAAGAACCTTTGGGAATTTAAATATTTAAAAGGGGGCTCAGAGGTTCAATGCCGGCGAGGCGTGGTTCTTAATGCAATCAACTCAAGCATAACGTTGGCTATTTGTTAAGGTGTTTTTCGGAGGCGTTCTTACCATAACAGTTTCTTTTTCGGGGTTTTTGATAGCGCTTTTCAATTGGACAAACGTAACGAATCAAAAAGGCATGGGTGGATCGTTAATTTTTCCAACTTAGAAGCGGAACTCACGCTTCCCCTGTTAATTCGATAGACAAACGCGGAAAACTTGTTTGTAGTGTTTTTTTTTTTTATATATTTCCCATTCGATAAACTTGGCATGACTGAGGCCGCCGGCATGGCCTGAGTCGAGGCAAACATTATTTGTATTATTGTTGTTGTACCTTTATCTATATTTAATTTAATCGATGCAAATGCTCGAGAGAGTCATGAACAAGCTAGCCATACAATGACCTTCAAATGTCGGCAAAGAAATGCGTTAAAAGAGTTACTTTAATGGCCATAATTAAGTGCGATTGAACCACCATGTTACCCTGTCTGTCTCTCTGTCTTTTGACCATTGTTTTCGTGTATTATTAAGCGAAATTATTGGGTTTTGCTTATAATTGCCGCACGTGTTCCCAGCTGCAAAAGAAATCAGTGAAAACGTTTCATATGCTGATGTCCATGTCCATGTACCCGTGACACATGTCAGGAGGGGATTGGGTTTGGTATACACAGGGGCAAAGGGGCGAGTACCCCTGCATCTGACATTGATGAAATGGGCTTTTTATGGCCATGTTTTTGGTGATGGAGTTGAGTTGGTTGTGTAATTGTTGTCTCTCACATTGAATGGCAATTCGAATGAAGCTTTGATTTATTTTCCTTTGTTACTTGGCTTAAAAGGAATATAAAAGGGAAAAGTTTTTCCTCTTAGCTTTTGCTTTGCTAATTTTGATTCTACTTGTAGAATATATATATGTTTGTAAGTTTATTTTTTTTAGCTGTACCCAATTGCTTTTTCGTTTTCACGTCGTCGCTTGAAATAATGAAATTTATTACGTGATCTCGTCGGCGGTCGGACAACTGAAATCTTTGGCATTAAAGTGGAAAAATAATCTCGTAAAAAGTAGAGGAAAAATTGTGTGATGGAAAAATACTAGAAAGATATTAGTCTGTGTGGTCTAAGTGACGCAATAAAACGGAAAAAGGAAGATTTATATCTTGAGGAACTAGATTCTGGTTAATGCAAGAAAAATAAACTAGTTCTCGATTTGCCTGAAAAACAAACGAAACTGTTTGTGACTGGAGAAGACATCTCTGACTCCATAAAATACTTAAATTTTGTTAAACATCACCAGGCGATCTGATTTAGCCAATACCGGTTGTCTATCAGACTATTAGAGCTAAAGCTATCAGACTTGGTGACAACATTCTTATAGGTTTCACTTAGATTAAGTTAGGTTTTATTTATATATAACCACCTCCTTAAAAGGCCGTTTGGATCACAATAAATATTTTTTTCTATCCTCTTGTAAACCATTTTTCACTAGAAATCCCCCTTAAACCCAAAAACAAGC